GAAGGAGTCGGAAGAAAGTCTAGTAGGAATTGTAGAAGAAATTCTCAGAACTTTGTATGTAATTCTTATCATAGAAACTACTTCATTAATTTTGCGCTAATTCTTTTTCTCGTAGAGGTGATGTGTGGAAGAATCCAGCCTTTAGACCTAACTTTGTAAATATGCAGAGTGAAGGTACATATGTGACTGACGTGGTAGTTCCGCTTTTACGGTCAACATTGAAAAATCTTCCGGTAGGAAAAATCAATTTACTTAGCACGTAAGTTTGATTGAATAGAATAAATCTCTTAATTGTGGCATTACTAGAAAGTTTGTTTCTATTTAGCGCAGAGCGACAGAGCGTGGCTAGTGCAGACAGAATGGATGAGAGGAAGCAGGGAAAACGTCCCGACGTTATGTTTATGACTGCAAGTAAAGAAAAGTTATATGAACTTATGTTTGTAGAATGCTCGCGCATAATTTGTAATGATGACAAAAAGGAGAATGACAAGGTGAAGCTATGGAGAGAAATGAATGATGGGATGGCTTACGTTCATGGAGGTTGCAAGCCCGATAAAAACGAGTTTGGGATCGTTGGAATCCAAGTCGCTGGTAGGATGTTGCATCTAAACGTTCTCATCAAAGATACAGATGATATTAATCATCTCTACCATTTACGTTCCGTTGAAATCCCAATACAACCGGTTGATGAAGAAGGTGTATCACAGTTTGTGGAGGCATTATTAATTTTACGGGTATTATTTTTATTTTATTTTTCCGACCAGAATTGCAAATGGTATTTGATTAAATTATTTACTCAATTATATAGAATAATCTAATTGTCAACATTTCTTTGCTAATGAATGCACCAGAGGCTAAATCAGAGCGTCAAAAAAAACGAAGTTCTACAGTGTCCTCAGATCGAGAAGATAATTGATTATTAACATGAGCATCTTGTACTATTACTATGTATTCCTGTATCAATAAAATCAAACAGATGGTCAAAATTTTCATACAAACATTCGAAAAAAAATAAGCTAATTAATTATTACACATATCCGATAATTTTCCACTACATGCTGAGAATATCCGAATCGAGATTATTTATCTCTAAATATCTACATATCTCTACATAATCACATATTCTTCTTGAGCGTAAAAGTTCTTGCGTACGATCCCTAAGTGTGTTCTCAACTTTTCTCAATTCATCCATAATATCGAGTTTTTCTCTTTCTTTTTTTTCCATAATATCAAGTTTTTCTCTTTCTTTTTTTTCCATGATTTCGAGTTTTTCTTTTTCTTTCTCCCCTTTTGTTTTTTCCATGATATCGAGTTTTTCTCTTTCTTTTTTTTCCAATAATTTTATATTTTGTATGCTGGATTTGGTTTGAATTGCAAATAAGTATTTATAGATTATTTCCAATTTTCTTGGCTGATCAGAAAATTCAGACGTTAGGGGAGATAAGTCTATTTCATTCATAATTGATATTACAGTTTCATTCGTGTCATTCGTGTTATTTATGTGATTTGCACCATTGAGAGAAGACGATATCCAACGTTGCAAGTACCAAGGACGGTATTTCTGTAAATGATAGTCTATGTTTAATGTTTGTTCAACAATGAGAAAAGCAAAAGATGAAGTATTGTTTGCTTACCACAAGCATAGGTCTCATTACGTACAACAATCGTGGATGCATGACTAAAAAATACTTTGTTGGTTACTGTTAATAAAAAATTGTTTGAATTGATATCTAATGTTGTACGAGTTCATTTGTCCAACATGTTATTACTATTAATACAGTTGTGATTGATTATGCAGGGATGGGTGATTGGGATGTTACACATCAGTATAAACACAAACATAGTTGAGCACACATATAAAAAATCATATGTGAGGATTTTTTATTGGGAAAATCCAGATCAATTTAACAATAACAAAAATAAAATAATATCGTTCATTGTAAATTTTCTTATAAATATTCTCCTAAAATTGCTTTTGTTGCTTCTTTTCCAAAATTCTTCTCATCACTAATCTCACACTTGGGTAAATAAATAAAAAAGCATAAATCGCAACCAGCAAATCTTTATTGATAATTGATTTTCACTTCTTTAAAATTAAAAAAATTACAAAAACATTGAATTTATTATATTCACAATAAGAACCTGAACTATTGCAAAAAACGTTTCAACATGATGATGATCTTTCTAAAAACGGATTTAATATATAAATCTAATAAATCTCTATGAAAATTTCAAAATCTATCTAGTCCACCAATCCTTCTCCTACAGTTATAAAAATAGTATCAAATAAAAGCTTGAAACTAGCTGTGCTATTATATTGTTAAGTATTCTTAGCTAAGATCGCCACAATCTACTAAGATACATATACATTATTAATAATATTTTTCGTATATAAATAACTCCCAACTTCAAATAGGTTCACCAATAACTATAGTCATAGTCCCTCGATGCTTGTAGTGTATCGCGACATCTCTCACAAATCATCCAAGGATATTCGAGATTTAAAGACGCCGATTGGTTATAGTTTTTTTTTCCATGGGCATTTACCCGATAACGAGGGTAGCGTCTCATCAAATCTCCTATACTTACATTCTCGTCCTTTGCCACATAGGCTTTATGGATACCATCTACCATAATTTTTATCGCATTCTTATCATACGTATTAGAAGGCTCCGGTTCAAGAGTGATGGTATCTGATTTCTTAAACTTATGACCACCGCGAAATCTCATCCCTACTACCATAAAGGAGTGTGTAACAATACAGTCTGTATATAATGGCGACGATGGCTCCTTACAACTACAACAAATATTAGGCATGGTTAAAAACTATTATATTTTCTATATATATATAATACCCAAGTTTAAATAGATAACTTCTAATGTCCAATCCACATATCCTGTAACCGATCACTTTTCCTCCCAAATCCCCATGTGCGTCTTACAAACCACATAACCGCAATAATTAATAGAGTAAGAAAAATATATGCC